CTGTTCTAAGCAAATGGAACCAGCTAGTGGGCCACTGAAGTCAACATGTACCAATACCTGATGCAATATATTTGCAATTCTTACAAATTCTAGAACAAGACATTGGTGAGTTTTGATCAGTGCTAGACAACAGGAAATTGAGCTCTTTCCAAAGCTTTCCGTCATTGAACTCTTTATGAGATAGATAGTTTTTGCTGAGAAAAACAAATTATACTGACTTCATGCAAGAGGGAGGGAAAATCTTAGAAAAAATATATTTAAGGGCGCCTGGGTGGCTCAGTTGGTTAAGCAACTGCCTTCGGCTCAGGTCATGATCCTGGAGTCCCTGGATCGAGTCCCACATCGGGCTCCCTGCTTGGCAGGGAGTCTGCTTCTCCCTCTGACCCTCCCCCCTCTCATGTGCTCTCTCTCATTCTCTCTCTCAAATAAATAAATAAAATCTTTAAAAAAAAGAAAAAGAAAAAATATATTTTAAATGACAATATTTTATAAATACATAAAATTTATTTTATATATTAATTACATATAGACTTATATATATGTATATATATGTATATGTATAAGTGTATATATATATATATAAGTATATAGTATATATAAAATCACTTCAGGCAAGATTCATTATGCTCCTAGGTCAGGTTTGGTTTTGTGAGTTTCTGAAAAAAGGGAGACTGATCTTGAAAATTAAACAAGAATGCTATCACATTTTATTCCCCATGATCCAGAAAAGATGAAATTCATCACACAATATGCAGGGCTCTGCCTCCAAAAAGTCAGTGAAAACACTCTATAAGAACTCTATCTCCTAAGGTGAATCTGTGAGATTTTCAAGACATTGTGTCAGACTTCCGTATTTGTTAAAGAAATATCATGAAGTTCATCAAATTCAACACAGAGTCATCGAGCACTTATTAAAGACCCAAACTAAGTACCCAGAACACTCAAACTAAGCCTTAAAAACAAAAATTACAACAAAAATGCTTCAGAATCATCCTGATACCTCAGGTACATGTCTAGTGAGATAATATTTACGTGTCCAAACAATATTTTGTAGCCTTATATAAATGTCTCAGTAATATTATTTAAAAATTAATCAGAAAAAAATGTATTTCATTTCAGGTCATCTGAATAGTTCACTGGCCTTCTGTCCACTGAGACAAATTTTTTAAAGTCTTTAATAAAAATATCTTATTCAAGTAAAAGGGATATGGGTTTCACAGCAGGGATGGTAGTGCTCCAGGAACTCACAACAGATACTAGGAGATCAAATAAATTATTTTTGATTGATGAGGAATAAGATATTTTTAAAAAGAATATGTTATTATTCCCCTACCTGTTTTTTCAGTTTCAAATCTGCAGACTCCATAAATTTCCACTGTACTTTTATTAAAACAATTCTGATCAATGAAATCCTGTGGAAAAGAGCAGAGCAAATAATCATGAGACAAAGTATTGTAACTGAGTCAATACTTCCTTGTAACAACATATGAATTTGAATATAAATTTATTTATTCATATTAAAAATAAAACAATTCCTCATTTAAGAAAACACAAAGTTTAAGTAGAAGCAACAACAATCCACATAAATTGTTTGAAATTGATAAAAATTTCATCTCACAGTGTCCACTACACTAAGCAAGCATTAGATGGTTTCGGTGGAAGTTGATTCAAATTCATAAAACATGGTTCTGTGAAGCCCGAGATTATACTGAAATAGTCTATTCAACTCACCCTATAGCACAGTCATGAAGGAAGTATGTTATCCTTACTACCTTAGTATAGAGAGCAACAATAGCCATCTGTATGAAATTCATAATTTTATAAGACCAAGAACATAATTATAATCATTTTCTATTAAAGGCACAGGTCAATAATTTGAAGACCATTTTCCATATCCAGATAATACTACAATCATAGCAATTATTTGCCTTGGCCATTACCCAGCTCTGACCTGGGGTTATTAATCTTTCATTTACCCTCCACTCTTACTTACATAAATGTGTTATTTTAAATGTACAAGAGATCACATTCAAGCATTTAATTAGAACACAGGCAAATGTTACTTCTCAAGTGTTGTTCCACATTTGTGGATTTTTTTTTAAAGATTTTATTTATTTATTAGAGAGAGAGAGTGCAAGCAGGGGGAGCAGCAGGCAGAGGGAGAGGGAGAAGCAGACTCCCCGCTGAGCAGGGAGCCTGATGTGGGGCATGCTCCCAGGACCCCAGGATCATGACCTGAGCTGAAGGCAGACGCTTAACCGACTGAGCGACCCAGGCACCCCTCCACATTTGTAGATATGTAATCACTTCTTCTGGTACCTTGTTGCTGAAATGGAATTAACTTGGAATGACAACTGAGAAACTAAGGAAATTTAAGGGAAAGCAATAATATAGGGTGGTATCTCTGATTTAATACTAAATGAAGGGGAAGGTACACCATGTGTAAATTATTATTATAACTAAATTAACATCCCAGGTAAGGAAAATCCCTAAGAATGGACTCAGTTGGTGTGCTAAGTTGGTAAAACTATATAATTCCCATTTTCTTCATGTTGCTTTACAATGTTGCCAGTTTTTCTTAGTGTCTAATACCTTTTTAAATTTGCTCCTTTTCTTGAAAAGGCAAAAATGTGTCATATGTTAAGGATACATCATTTGTATTAGTATATCATAGATATCTATCTATCTATATATGTACACATCTGTGTGTATATATATATGTATTTATAAGCATAAAACAGTGTTAATGGGTTTCAGTTTTACCAGCTTCTGGATGATTTTTTTCTCAATCTTCAAAAAAGCTCCCTTAAGCAGTTGGTTTTATTTTATTTTACTTTTTTAAAGATATTTTTAATTTATTTATTTGAGAGAGAGAGAGCACAAGTGGGGTGAAGGGCAGAGGGAGAAGCAGACTCCCTGCTGAGCAGGGAGCCCGATATGAAACTTGATCCTGGGACTCTGGGATCATGACCTGAGCCAAAGGCAGTCGCTTAACCGACTGAGCCACCCAGGCGCCCAAGCAGTTGGTTTTAAACATCTACTCAAACTAGAAGAACAACAAAATGTTTCATAGGATTTAACAAAGAATGTCCCAAACATCAGAACCAAACAGCAAGAATAAAAGTCTGAATTTATTCTTGAAACCAAAGGGCAAAGACATAAAGAAAGAACATCAGCATCTTTACAGGATACCTAGAATCATCGGACCTTGAGACAGACAGCCCACTTCGCCATAGGAACACTTAAAGAATAAACAAGCCATCACAGAAGCATTATGGAGAGTCAGTTATGTGTTTTCAAATCTATGGTGTAATAATGCTAATTCAATATGAAAATCATCCCATTAGCCATTTCAGTAAAATGGCAAATTAACCAATCTCTTATTATAGAAAGTGCCATTTTCACAATTTAATAAAACACAAATCCATTATGGCAAATAAGGTTAATGTGGAAAAATGCCATAGGAAGTTTAAAAAGGAGACTTTGTAATGTGCTAATGAATTCACCTAAAAAAAGTAGGTCATTTTGGTTCTGCTGCACCATTGTTCTGAAACTAGTCTGGGAAGAAATATAGAGTAATAACATCAAAAACATAGAAGCAAACACTAATTTGTGAATTCAGTTAGATTCATAAACCTCTTCGTGTACTCCTATAAAATATTTCTTTCAACAACAACAAAATAATGTTCCTCATAGCCCAGGCCTTAGAAAGAGGAAGAATGGAAAGATTGTCATGTCTCCTTTGTATTCAGGTTATTACAGAGAAAGGATCCTCATCCTCTTCCCAGGTTCCCAACTACCTTGCTATCTTGTCACCTGTTAACTATAATCTCCTAATACATTTTATTACAGCCTACAGAGGCTAAACATATTTCCAGGGCACCAGCAATACAGGGATTAATATAAAAATTTTTTAAAAAGAGTAAATTTTAGTGTTGATCAACTTATTAAGATTTTTGCAATCTAAAATAAAGCTATTTTTATGCTGCATCATAAATCTTGTGCTTTATAGTTTAGTGTTGTTTCAAATTAGAAGAAAGAGGGACTAATGTCATTTTTCATTGTACTTGGTCTCTAAGGTGGTAATAAGTCTGAATGGAGAAGTGAGAGAGAATCAGAGATGTTTGGACAGAAGTTATAACATGGCTTTGTGATAGAATAATAGAAACGGTAGAGAATATAAAGTCAGAGGTAGTTCTAAGGATTTTAGCTAGGCAAAATAGATGAATAATCCATGGGAGATGGGAGAAAGGACCTGACTAGAACAAAAGACACGTTACCTTTGATCCCTGTTTAGTTTGAAGAGACCACCAAGAAGCACTAAACAATTTGATCACAAAGACAATACACAAGACACCCAAAATTATATTTGGGTCTGATGATGAGGTCGAAGAGGTCATAATTGGATGGACATGGCCAACTAAAAAAATAGAATTATGACTTGTCCATGAGTAACTCAAACCTTTCTTAGCCCTCACACCAAAGGATTTGATGATATAATATTAAATGAAACATCCAGGTAGACTAGTATGTATTATTTTGTTTATAGTGATGCAGTTTGCTTTTGTTCTCATTGTCCTAGAGATAGTCATCTCCAATCTTAGAAACGCATGAGGATGAATGACAAACTGAGCTATTCATGCCAAGTTACATACAAATAAATAAAGTAACACTCATTTGGCTTTTGGGGGGTTTTTTGTTTGTTTGTTTCAGTCACTTTGGTCATTTTTAGCACGAGGGTAGCACAACCTTCTAGCTAATTAATGGAATGTCCCATACTGGTTGGGAGTGAGAAGGTAAGGAAGAAAGAGTGAATTCACAGGTAATGGGTAAATTTTAATGTTGGAGTCAGCTCTTAACTTCTGTTTTGAATTCTAATTATTTGATCAGTAGTTAGCAGGCCTCCAGGAGGTAAAGTACGAGGAAAAGAATATTCAGGAGTGAGTGACATTTTGATACTGATGGTAGCTTACCTGTGTTAAGCCTCTGTATCTCCTCTGGGACTTTAAAATCCTGTGTTCCTGAGGCCCATCTCCACGTCGCACATTCGTGAATCCTTCAGAGTCCTACTGTGTTTGCTTGAAGGGAATTTAGAATCCATAATCCACTCTTTAAAAAAAAAAAAGAGGTGATGAAACTGATGCTCAGAGGCTATATCGTAAGTCCAGGGTGACGTGACTAAATAAAAGCATGGACCAGGGCTTTAAGTTAAACTCCAGCACATATAGAACTGGTAAACTGCCATCCCAACCTTACAACAAGAAAGAAAGCTGAACTAACTGAATATCAATGACTTTTCTTGAATAATCTGAGACCTGTGGTCCCAGGACAAACCACCCACCCTGGAATCTAAAGAAACAGAGGCATCCAAGAGAGATACAGCTTCTGAGGTTTGCTTATCTGGAGCAGAAGTCACTGGATCCACAGCTGGTAGGAAGAGTTGAATGACTATTTTGATAAATAGAGATTGAGTTCAAACTAGTGTGAGAATGAGAAATTGTTGGGGGTAGCCATCTTAGGGAGCTTACATTTCCAGAAGTCCCACCAGGCTCTCATGGTGAGGATCGGAGAATAATCCCCTCAAAGCCCAGGCTGGAGGAAGGAAAGAGTTGTAGTCTTAAAACCCACTCAGATTCTGTACCCTGACAAAAGCCTAGAACCCAGAGGGAAGGGATTCACCATAGGGCAAACTTGAAACCTAATCCCAGTTCAGGAAGGAATCTTGCCCCAATGCCAGGCTTCCTGTATTCCTTGGGAAACAAGGAAGGGAGAAGGAGAATAGGGGCTAAAAAAAAAACTATACTGCTGGAGGAAGAACAGAAGCAATTGTGCAAGATTCTCCTCTGAGACACAGGCCCACTAATGACTGAGACTTAATGAGAAAATTATAGAATGTCCCCCACTCCTCTAATCCTGCAATACTGCCAAGTATCCAATATAATAACAGTGGATTATAACTGAAAGACTCCTAGTTATAGTTAAAGGCTTCAACATCCCTCTGTCAGTAATTGAAAGATCAAGCAGGCAGAAAATCAGTAAGATTATAGATAACCTGAATGACACTATCAATCAACTTGATCTAATTGACATTTATAAAATATTCTATTCAACAGCAGAATACACATTTTTCTCAAGCTCCCATGGAATGTTTACCAGGTTAGACTACATTCTGTTCCTTAAAATGTACCTTAATAAATTTAAAATGATAGAAATCATACAGAGTATGTTCTTAGAGCACAACAGAATTAAACTAGAGATCAAGAACAGAAAAACAGCTGGAAAATCCCCATATATTTGGAAATGAAACAGCATACTTACATGGGGGCAGTCTCAAAGGAATATAAAAAGTATTTTGAACTAAATGAAAATGAAGCTATACCCTCAAAATTTTTGGAATGCTACCAATAATATTTAATAATAATATACATTAGAAAAGAAGACATATCCACAATCAGTCATCTCAGCTTCCACCTTAGTAAACTAGAGAAAGAAGAGCAAATTGAACCCAAAGAAAGCAGAGGAAGGAAAACAAAATTTAAAGCAGAAAACAATAAAATTAAAAATGGAAAAGAAATTTAAAAAATCAATGAACCCAAATGCTGATTCTTTGGAAACAATAAATCTCTTCAGGCTAACCAAAAAAAAGAGAACAGAGCACTTTACCATATCAGGAATGAAGGAAGGGGTAATCACTACTGATCCCATGGACAGCAAAAGGATCATAAGGGAACACTACAAACAATTTTATAAATCCAAATTTAATAACTTGGATAAAATGGACTTTTTATCTGATGACACAAACTACCAAAATACATAGGTAAGGCAGAAATGGATAACCTGAATAGTTTTATAATATTTACTGAGAAGTTGAAGTAGCAGTTAAAAATCTTCCAAAAACAGAAAATAGTTGGCCCACATGGTCTCATCGGTGAATTTTTAAAAACATTTACATAAAAAATAAATTAATTCTACACAATCCTTTCCCCCCAAATAGAAGAGGGACCACCTCACAACTTACTTTATGAGGATGGCATTACCCTAATACCAAAATCAAATAAAGCTACTGCAAGAAAATGAAAACACAGACCAATTTCTGATGAAGATCGAGACAAAAATCTTTAACAAAATATGAGCTAATCTAATCTCACATAACAGGATAAATCACCACAACCAAGTTGAATTCATTCCTGGAATGCAAGGCTGGTTCATCATTTGAAATTTAACAAACAAAATTCATCATACTAACAGATTGTATCCCCCACATATTCAGGAAGATCATTTGACAAAATTACTGATTCATAATAAAACTCTTAAAAAAACTAGGAATAGAAGGAAATGTCTATAACCTAATAAAAATACAAAAAATACAAAAGTCTACAGCTAACAGAATACTTAATTATGAGAGACTGAACATTTTCATACTAACATTAGGGACAAAGCAAGGGTGGGTTCTCTTACCACTACTATTCAACTTCACATTATAGGTAGTGCAAGAAGGCAAAAAGGAGAAATAAAACTGTCTTCTATTGCAGTTGGCATGGTTGTCTATGTAATAAACCCAAAAAACCTGTTTTTAAAAAATTCCTGATAACATAAGTTCAAACACATACTAAAGCTCTATATTTTTACCCCCCCCAACATTTAATGTTTTTGATTTCACAATCTACATTTTAGCTTGTGCTAACAAATTTTGGAATTACAGTTATTTTAACTTTTGTCTTTTAACTTTCAGTAAAACTCTTCAAGGACATACAGGAGTTGTTTTTGTTTTTGTTTTTGTTTCTAGGTCCTTTGTCTTCTGAAAAAGAACAAAGTTGGAGGATTTGCATTACCCATGACTTATTGTCAGGCTACAAGAATCCAGATAGTGTGGTATTGGCAAAAGAAAAGACATTGAAAAATGGAACAGAATAGAGAGCCCAGAAATAGACCCACATAAATGTGACCAACTGATTTTTGACAAAGGCATAAGGACAATACAATGAAGAGAGGCATCTTTTTGACATCTGGGGCTAGAACATTTGTCTGTATATATGTCCAGATGCAAAAAATGAACATAAACACAAGCCTCACTCACAACTTACACAAAAATTAACTAAAAACATATCAATTATATAACTATAAAGTATATACAGACAAAAAGCCTAGAAGAAAACAGAAGAGAAGATCTGTGTAAACTTTAGTTTGGTGGTGAGTTTTTAGATACAACATCAAAGCATGATCCATGACAAAAATTGATAAGACAGATGTCATTAAAATTAAGAATGTTTGCTCTGTAGAAGTCACTGCCAAAAGAATAAAAGGACAAGTCACAGACCAAGAGGATATGTTTGCAAATCACATACTGGATAAAGAACTTGCATCTGGAATATATACAGAACTTAAAATTCAGCAATAAATAAAATCCATTTGAAAAATGGGCAAATAATCCAAACAGAAAACTCACCATATGAGATAGACGGCAACTAAGCATATGAGATGTTCAACTCCATTTTCATTAGAGAAATGCAAAGTAAAACAATACTGAGATACCACTATACACCTAGTAGAATGGCTAAAAGCTAGAGAGAGAAAAAAACAACCCTGAAAATACCAATAGCTGATGAAAATTAGGACCGGTGTCAACTCTCATTCATTGCTGGTGGAAATTCAAAATGGTATAGCAATAAAGAGGAACGAGCTATCAAGCCATGTAAAGACAGGGGTGCCTATAAAATGAGCGTTGTCAAGTGAATAAAGCCAGTTTGAAGAGGCCATTTAATGTAGGATTCCAATTCAGAACTCTAGAGATGGAAAATACATCAGTGGTTGCCAAGGTTTTAGGAGTATTATGGTTCAATAGGTAAGGCCCAAAGCACTTTTAGGGAAGCAAAATTATTCTGCATGATATTAGCATGGTGGACACACAGTATTATGCATATGTTAAAGCCCATAGAACTTTTCAGTACAAAGAGTGAATCAATAAAAGGAATGAGGGCTCCTTGGAGAAGTGGATGGTTCTAAGGTTGGGGCAGAGATTTGAAAGATGAACCTGAAGCTTCATGCAGTGTCAGAATTTAAAAATGTGCTAAAAAAAATAAAAATAAAAATAAAATAAAACCCCACAATGATGAGAGAATGTCCAAAGGGCACAGGAGCCAACTGAAAGGTCTCTTAATGACTAAAGCTGGAACAATTTGAGCAACAAAATAAATAATATAGTATTGGATTATAACCCAAAACATACAGTAAATATCCTTGAGTCCATAGTGATATAAACCCATGATAGAATAAATAAATGGAGTACAAACAAATCTCCCAAACAGAAAAATTCCAGATAATTTTGGTAAATGCTCACTCCTCAAAGTTCTGGTGCATAATTCTTCACCCATTAGTGAGAACTGCACATAGTAACTTCCTTCCAAAGAGGACATGAACAGCAAGAAAGAAGGGGCTTTACAGGGAGGAACCTGACAAACACTACTTCAGACAAGTGATCAATATTAATAATAACAGGGGAGCTTGGGGGGCTCAGTCATTTAAGTGTCTGCTTTCGGCTCCAGTTGTGATCCCGGAATCCTGGGATCCAGTCCCATGTCTGGCTCCCTGCTCAGCGGGGAGCCTGCTTCTCACTCTCCCTCTGCCCTTCCCGCCGCTCATGCTCACTCACTCAACTCTCTGTCTCTCAAATAATTAAATAAAATCTTTAAAAAAAAAAAAAGATCAGTAACAACAGTGGTAAGTCATGTTTTGAACATGTATCATGTATCTATGCTCAACAAAAGATGGCTTTCCTCTGTGATCTTTCTTCCCCAAACCCACAAACCTTGTTTAACCATGAGAGAAACATCAGAAAAACAACAACAAAAAACTGAGGGACATTCCACAAAATACTTGGCCAGTAATCCTCAAAATTGTCACAGTCTTCAAAAACAAGGTAAGTCTCATAAATTTTCAGTCTAAAGCCTAAAGAACATCCTGAATAAATGCAATGTGGGATCCCATATAGGATCCTGGGACCTCAAAAGGACATTCAGGAAAAAATCGTGATATTGGAATAAAGTATGGGCTTGAGTTGTAACAATGTATTAACATTGGTTCATTAGTTGCAACAAATGTACCACAGTACT